GAAGTTTAGGGTAAGGATTAGTGTTTTAATCTGCAGAGATCTGTGGAAATGGCTAATTGATCAAGGTGTTTCTAGCAATGGAATAGATGAGAAGCCAACTAATGGATTCTATGTCTGATGAATAGCTATGTAAGTTACTGGTGTGGCAATACATGGCCTCTTACCCAATTTTCAGACTTGGTGATAGGAATATAAACACCCTTAAAGAGTTCTGTTAATAATTACCATCAGTAGACCAGAGATGAGAGTGTGAACACTACAGAGGAATTTAGTTCACGGATATAAATTAGAGTAATAGTATAATATAGGATAGAAACCAGGAGTTCACACAAAATGATCTGAGATAAGATGGGGGCAATAATGAATAGAAATGAAGTTTAGGGTAATGATTAGTGTTTTAATCTGCAGAGATCGGTGGAAATAGCTAATTGATCAATGTGTTTCTAGCAATGGAAGAGATGAGAAGCCAATTAATGTATTTTATGTCTGATGAATAGCTATGTAAATTACCAGTGTGGCAATATATGGCCTCTTACCCAATTTTCAGATCTGGACCAGTTCCCAAACCTGAAATTCCTTTATTGTGGAAGAAGATGCATAATTTTGAGGAAAGACATTGCAACATGGCCAATATTGTATCCTGAGAATCTTGATTCAATATTTCCCCAGAAGGACCATTGGCATGTACCAAAGTCCCTGTGCATTGCAAAAACAAAAATATCTAAACTTCTTGGGAAGTATTAGGTACTGTCTCTAAACTTATGCAGATCTAATGAGATCCAAAATGACTTACTGATCAAAGTAGGGACTTATAGAGGTCAGATATTAGATGGAGTCTTCTCTCAAGTCTGCCAGGGTTTGAGGTTATTTGAAACTGAACTCAGTTCCTGTATAGTCTGGTTGGTCAACGTCTTCTTTAGTCTCATTTGTATTATATTTCTTTTTGGGGTCTCAACTCAAAGTTCACTAGCCCACTAGTCTTTGGTGGTCCAAGAACTGTAATTTTGCCCTCTAGCTGCATGTGGCTCAACCTTTTGACTTTTCAGTAGTCTCTTCCAGATTGCCAGATTTGCCTAGGGAGGTAAGTGCTCCTCAAATACCAGATCGACCTCTCCATGATTTTTGTTATTCCTGGACCCTAATCCTTTGTTAGGATCCTGATATCTTCCAACCATTTTTTCCCCAATATTGTAATGTAGCTTTGCCAGTTGTACCTGGTGAGTGAGTTGATCCAAATTTTCTAATCCACCATTCCCAAAAGATAAAAGTAAATGTTTCAATTTATGCATAATATACATAATGAAAAGTACACAAATAAAAGCGTATAGCATAATAAATTTTTACAAATTGAACATACCAGATAAATTGAATATTATGAGAATACCAGAGGATTCCATTTTGTCACTTCCCAGGTATTATGTTCCAAAACATAACCTCTACCCTGATTTCTATCACCTTAGGTTTTTGTTATTTTTTATTTCAATTTTCATTCGATGTTTCTAAATATTTAAAAAGTAAAGACTCTTACACCAATGATCTCCAATGAGACCATGCAAAGCAATTCAAAGTGTATGCAACCATCAACCCCTGCTTCAGTTTTGCTGCTTGGTACAACTGTGGGATCATCACCAGAAAACTGAATGGAATGTGCCGGCATAGGAAATTCCTCCCATTTACAAAAAAGAAAAACAAAAATCATGCAGGATACTTGCTACTTTGTGTCTGTAAGTCCATTTCAAACTTGCCATTTTTATTTAGGAGGCTCATGGGACTGAAAATTTTAGCTGTCCAATTTTATCCAACTGGGCAGGGGGCCTAGCCCTGAGTGGGTCTGCCTAGGGCCAGCCGGTAGTGTATGGGTTCTTGACTACATGCAGGAAATAGTTCACAACGTGAGTCCAGCTGAATGTGAGGGTGTGTTTATGAAAACTGGGGGCAGAGAAACGAGGAGTTGTTTAGCATAGAAGAAGCAACAGAAGAGCCTAGGCTCATCGAAAAGTCAAAGGAAGGGGAGCCTTGGGGTCAAGTTTGGGGGCTTTATCCCTCTTAATAGAAATAAATCTCCCTTATTCTGATTTTGCTAGACTGGGTTCCAGCATAGTAGTGAATAACCCCTCATTTGCCATTTAAAGTGTGACAACTGTATTCTGTTGCATTATACCCATTGTTGCTAATTGCAAAGACTAAAGACAGTTGGTTTGCTAAGTGGCACTGAAAAAAATTCTGACCCAACTTTGTCCAAATGTTTCTGACTAAAGAATGTTATACACTATTTAGAGGCTCACTTTTAAGAGATGGCTAACATTAATACTGTACATATTTTACAGGTCAGATACGTAGTCTAAAAGTTTATACAATAAGTTTAAGGACTAGTAACTCTAAGAATGTCAGGGACAAAAATACCTCTCCCCACCCAAGTACTTGTGGCAGCATTTCAGGTTCTATATACAAAACAATTCTGTTTCTCTGCTGGGTTAAGTATGTAATATTAAGAATGTCAGAGATTATTCAGAAAAAAGTCTTAATTCATTAAAGTTCTATTACCATAATTCTGACCTTTTTATTTTTGGTCATTATACAAATAAAATCATGTTGTTCTGTCTTATTTCTTCACATATCATGACTGTGAGAATTGGATGGTGTTTTTTAATTTGTCGTTTAGAACTTTTGTATTTTAGGACATTTTTTGGTTTACGGAAAAAATTGCACAGAAAATACAGTGTTCCCATATGTATCGCCACACAGTATCCCCTATTATTAACATCTTGAATTGCTATGCTACAATTAAACCAATATTGATACATTAATATTAACCAAAGTTCATAGTTTACATAGGGCTTCACTCTCTGTATTATACAGTTCTATAGTTTTTCACAAATGTATAATGTCATATATCCACTATCATATCACTCAGAAAAATTTCAGCATCCTAAAAATGTCCTCAGATTTACCTATTCATCTCTCTCTTCCTCCCGTAAACCATTGGCAACCACTGTCTCTATAGTTTTGCTTTTTCCAGAATGTCATATAGTTGGAATCATATAATATATAGCCCTTTTCAACTGGCTTCTTTCACTTGGCAATATGCATATAAGATTTCTCAATGTCCTTTTGTGTCAGGATAGATTTTTCCCCCTATATTTTTATTGTTTCACCAATACTATGCTATCTTGATACTATAGCATTACAGTGTCTTGAAGTCAGGTGGTATCAGTCCTTCAACTTTATTCCTTTCTTCCAATATGTTTTAAAATCTAGATTTTATTTTTATTCAGATAAAGTGAGGCCAACAGATCAGGATTGTCATTTTAAAAATACTTTATTACACACAGCTTCCGGGAGGGGGTATTCCATGCCACTCAGGGCTACGACAGGGAACACCGAGTTTAGTCACAGACAACCAGAGCAAGGGGAACTGAGAGACGGCCTTTTTGTGTTTTGTGTTTTGGGGTTTTTAAAAATATATATATTTTTATTGATTTCAGAGAGGAAGGAAGAGGGAGAGAGAGATCACATCAATGATGTTTTTTTTATCAGCTGTCTCCTGCATGCCCCCTACTGGGGATCAAGCCCGCAACCCATGCATATGCCCTTGACTGGAATCGAACCTAGGACCCTTCAATCTGCAGGCCAATGCTCTATCCACTGAGCCAAACCAGCTAGGACATTTTTGTGGTTTTTATGTGAATGACAAAGGCAGGGCAAACAGGCTAAACAGATTTAGGATTCGCTGGTTTGAATAGTTTCAGTGAACTTCCGTGTGTAGAGCTTGTCCCCAGAGGTCTGATGCTTGGTCATGAGGTGATTGGACAGGGGAATAGTTTAAGAGCTGGAAAAAGCAGAATGTTGAGGGTTTGGACTCTGGATTGGTTGGTTTTCATATTAAAGGCAGGCTCTAAAGAAAGAGAGAGGGAGAGGAATCTCCATCCGGAGTCTAAATATATAAGACTCAAAGGCATAGAAGAAAAATGTCCTTTTCTTACCACAGAATCTAACTTCTCTGTCACTGGTGGGAGCTGGGCTCTGGGGACTCGGCTGACACGAGCACTTTCAGAAGCCCCCACAGGAGAAGGGGATGTGGTAAAAGACTTTATTTTCACTGAGTTACATTCCTCAGGCTCCAAAGTCCCTTGCCCCTTAGCCCAGCCCTGAGAAAGGTACAGCTGGGGCTCCAGCAGAGCCAGAGGCTAGGCCAGAGTCCAGAGCTTCCGTTCCACGGTGAAGCTGGTCCCGTCCATTCAGTCAGATGAAGTCCATTAATCCACTGCGTGGGTCCCACACAATGGATTAATGCATTTGTCTTGAGATTTCAATTGAACAATCCCGGGAAGCTTCCATGAGAAACAGGCGTAAGAATTCGAGTTTGAAGTATCAATAAACATGTGGCCAAAGCAGAAAGGAGGTTATCACCAGATGGCGGTTGGCGGGAGGACAGGTTTCCAAGGAGTCAGGCTCTGTATCAGGATACAGTGTTTTGAAAAAATCTTGCTTTGTTTAAGCAGAGAAATTTACAATAGTTCAGATTTGAAAATTGCCCAAGTGTCTATCAGTAGACGAGTGGATAAAAAAGTTGTGGTACATTTACACCACGGAATACTACATGGCTGTAAAGAAGAAAGCACTCTTACTATTTGCAACAGCATGGAGGGAACTGGAGAGCATTATGCTAAGCGAAATACGCCAGTCAGAGAAAGACAAATATCACATGATCTCACTCATATGTGGAATCTAATGAACAAAATAAACTGATGAACAAAATAGATTCAGAGATATAGAAGCATGGAATAGACTGATGAATTTTAGGTGGAAGGTGTGGGTGAGAGAATGGGGGGTGGTGATTAATGGGGGAATATGCATAGCCCATAGACACAGACAATAGTGTGGTGAAGGCTTGGGAGAGGCAGGTGCAGGTTGGAGGGGGTCAATGGGAAAACAAGGGAGGACATCTGTAATACTTTCTACAATAAAAATACGGACAAGAATTTTATGCATCAGGTAAAACATATGCCATCAGAGTTTGCTTAGGCTTATTTTTACTTTCTTCAAGAATCTGTTTTTCATCCATGATTTCTGTGCCAAGCACAGCTGATTTCCTAAACTCCTGGGTTCTTGGATGTTGGGTCCTGTGGGAAAGGCAAGGCTGGGTGCCTGGGGAGAGCAGACGTTCCAGTTTGAGCTGTGGGAGAAGAAGAGAATCTTGATCTCAAAGAAAGGAAATCTAGAAAGGGGGGGAGTCTGACAAGGCCAACCTGTAACTTAACGGAGCCAATCTGTCTTTTTGCATCTGTGATAACACGTCCTTGAAAAGTCTGGGTAACTTGTAACTTCCCTTTTTCCAGACCCCTTGGGGCACACCCTAATGTGCCTGGGCGCCAGGACAGATACCACAAATTCTTTCATTGTTATTGGTATCATATTAATTGTGGACTGCTAACTATCCTGCACCCACCTAAGTAAGTGTCTATCTTTTTACTTTTTATCTAATCCAGAGGTTCCCCCTCCCCCGTTTGCTTTCTCCCACCTCTCTAATTTATCAGTGGATTTCAAGTAACCCACCTACGTCCCTTCCTTTGATTGCAAGGTATAAAGTAGATGAAACCCCGCCATTCTCTGGAGCACTATCCCAATCCGTTGAGATACTGCTTCCCAGCAATTGTCGACAGTTTGGCTCAAATAAACTCACAAAAATTATTTTTTAAAAAAGAAAAAGAAAGAACGGGGGAAGAAAGAAAACAATAGAGGAAGTAGTTGAAGGAACAGAACAAGAAAATCTCACCTCTGCTTTTGAAACCACGGGCCAACCACAACCAACATAACCAGGGTAACCATTATAGCCGAGCAGATCAGTAGCAGGAGGACGGGGTATCCGTCTGGTTGGGGATAAAGTAAGAATGCCAACTTATGAAGTGTCTCTATTCTACCTCAGTTAATGCTTCTCGTTTCACAGGGTGGGGCCTTCCACCAGTTTTCCTCTGTATTTTCTAGAGCCCTCCTCTCAGTTCTTCCTGGTCTATGTCCCTGATCTCACCCCTCTCTCTCTTTTTTTTACTAAATCATTAGATCCCTCTTTTTTTTCTCTTTACTGCCTCTAATCCTCTCCTGTTTTCTTTGCTTTCCTTCTTCACCCTTCTTTACTTGGATTTTCCCACTTTCTCCTCAGTGCATTCCTATTCATTTCCCCAGGTGCTCATTCACTAGCCCTGGAACTATGGGAAGACTCTCATTTACCCCAGCGGCCCTCGTTCTTCCTCACCCCAGTGGATGACTAGATCATGGCCTCGTTCTTCCTCACCCCAGTGGATGACTAGATCATGGCCTCGTTCTTCCTCACCCCAGTGGATGACTAGATCATGGCCTCGTTCTTCCTCACCCCAGTGGATGACTAGATCATGGCCTCGTTCTTCCTCACCCCAGTGGATGACTAGATCATGGCCTCGTTCTTCCTCACCCCAGTGGATGACTAGATCATGGCCTCGTTCTTCCTCACCCCAGTGGATGACTAGATCATGGCCTCCGAGGCTGCTGTGTTTCACTCGACAAGTCAGGCCAGTCGCCTCTCGAGCTGCCACGTCCAGGGTCACTCGCAGATACCATGTTCTGTCAGCGTTGGGCAGCACTTCGCCTTGCTGAGTGCCCGCCTGCACCTGCTCACCGCGCATCCACCGCACCCACACAGGTTTGGGATGAAAGCCAGACACATGGCACACCAGCAGCAGACGCCCAGGACCAGGACTAGTGCCTTTGGACACCCAAGCCTCTGGCTTCACTGGAAAGAAGAGAAGAAGTGGACTTAGTGACTCAGCTACCTCAGCAGTTGGAGTAACCACTTCTTTCTCTTGTCTTGGAAGCAACACTCATCCCCTAGCCTCTTATTGTGTGTTTCAAAGAGATGATAACGAGTTAAAAACTCAAATACATACAAGAACTAAAGCACGAAGGATGTTAGGGGAGAGGAAGTTGGGCTGACCTTGCCGTTCCAGTTCTGACTTCCCTGCTGCAGCGATGACAGCCAGTAAGCGAGGGCAGGTGTTACCCAGAAGGTTCTTCACAATTTCTTTGATCACTCGGTAGCGATTGAGCAGTTTGCAGACATTCTGAGCCCGACTTCCTGCGCCTGGAGATGGCTTCCAGGAATATCCTTGGAAACTCAGGAAATCTGATCCTTGATATGCCCCATTTAAGAAGGTTTCTGGGGCCTTCCCAGGATGCATTGTACAGCCAGATGACATCTGGATCACAAAGGGATCTGAGAAAGACAAACTAGAGAACGTCAGTATGGAAAGAATTGTTGGGAGGGAAAGGAAACAATCAGTAAAGTAAAGGGAATCAAGGGAAGAAAAATATTCTGGCAAATCACATGGGATACTCGGGATGAAAAGGGGGGGGAAATTGTGGGAAGAAAATGTGAAGAGACTAAAGGAATGTAAAAATAATGAATCTGACAAGTATCACAGGATCTCACTCATCTGTGGAATCTAAGTTACAAAACAAACTGAAGAATGGAGTGGATCCAGAGATATGGAAGTGTGGAACAGAGTTCAGAATCTTGGAGGGAAGGCGGGGGAGGGTGGATGGGTGGGAAATAATCAACCAAGAAGCTTGTATGCATATATGCATGGCTCGTTCTGGGGCCTTCCCAGGATGCATTGTACAGCCAGATGACATCTGGATCACAAAGGGATCTGAGAAAGACAAACTAGAGAACGTCAGTATGGAAAGAATTGTTGGGAGGGAAAGGAAACAATCAGTAAAGTAAAGGGAATCAAGGGAAGAAAAATATTCTGGCAAATCACATGGGATACTCGGGATGAAAAGGGGGGGGAAATTGTGGGAAGAAAATGTGAAGAGACTAAA